TCTCTCTCTCTCTCTCTCTCTCTCTCTCTCTCTCTCTCTCTATCACACACACACACACACACACACACACACACACACACAATCAGCATTATGTGTGCATAGCTTCCCTCACAGCTTTCTACTCTTACTTTGTTTGAGCACCTCTAAGAAGTGCCAAATAGTCAGTGATCGTTTGTTTGGAGTGCCTTTAAGAGTATTAGGGGGGCTGGTCTGTTTGGAATGTCTGCGGGTGCATGTTCCATGATCGATGACAGGGGTTCGTCTGATTGGTTGAAACCGACAGTCTGCGTGGTCCTGCTCATGGTTTGATGTAGGTGATCGACTGCTTTGGTCTGCGTTCGTCCGTTGGATGTACGGACTGCCTTGCCTCTCCTCCTCCGCTCCGCTACCTTGCTGTCCATCCACTTCAGTGTCTTTCCTTACAGCTTGTCCATGTGCCCTGTAGTTTGGCTGCATTATCAGCGTTGCCTTGTGGCTCACTGCATCGTTGCCTTGCTGCCCATCTGCTTGGCTTGTCTTTCCATGCAGTTTGCTTGTGGGCTGTGTAGTCAGGCTGCCCTGTTAGCGCTGCCTGGTGGTTCGCTGCACTGTTGCCTCGCTGCCTTGTTCCGCTTGTGGTGTCACGTGCTGGCCCATCCATTTTCAATAGGGGATTGAAGAGTTCATCACTCAAAGTATTAATGTGGGGATTCTGCAGATTGTCAGGGCTTCAGCCTCCTGATGAGAGTCGGTGCGATTCTGGTGAAAAAATCTATCATCATCAGTTTTTATTCTTTTCGCTCTTGCTGTTTTTCATTGTTGATTTGTTTCAAGCGTGGCTCTAGTACTCTGAGCTTTCTTCCCCTAGCTGCTTTGCACTGTTTGCTTGCCCAGCCGGCTCCCCCCTGCCCGCCACCCTATGAGCCTTGCAACCACTTGTCGTTCAACGCCCCGCCGCCCTTTGCCTTGAATCAGATCTGTTTTGGTATAATACTGCATTTGCCTCACTGCTTTCTTCTCTTGCTGCTTACCTACATTTGCGCTGCTGCTTTTGGCTCACTACCTTCTGCCTTTTCCCCGGCTGTCTTGTGGCCTAGTGCCCATGGGCTCTAGACCTGCTCTCGTAGGATTGGTGAAAGATAGAGGCCTCTGTATGCATATTCTTCTGCTCTCTCGTGTTTGGGATGTGTTTAGCATACAATGCAGGCACACACTCCCACACCCACACACCCACACCCACCACAACCACCCCCAACCCCACAGCCACACCCAACCCCACAGCCACACCCAACCACACACCCACACCCACACCCACACCCACCCAGCGGTGGGTGCTTCTACATGAGCTTCAGGTAACCAAATATGAACTGGTACCATAGGTAACTTTCTCTGCAAAAGATGCAGAAAAAGCAATCCATAGCAATATTTGACGTCGTTCGCTAAATTTTGTTGTCAATACGATTTGTCGACAACTCTGTCACTCCGGGGCTAGAATCAGAGGTGCCAAAGTCCCACATTTCCAGCAAAAGAGTCTGAGTCATCACTCAGAAACAAAACTTTTGAGTGGCATGGGGGGGATACGCCACAGATGAGAGAGAGAGTCTTTAGTGCACAAGTATGCGGAACTAGAGGTTCAAGGCGCCAGTTCACAAACCTCAAGAAGCTTGGCATCCTCTTCAGCCGTCCACACTCCCTTGTTGCCAGAAGCATTCATACATGCCTGCCATCTGCAAGCACATGGGTGCAAAAAAAAAGTTGGTCCGTCAATCCCTGTATGACTTTACAGTTGATTGTCATTTGATTTTCCGTGAAATGCTTTTCCGTGGTTCCAACTGAGTCTCATGATTTCATTTGATTGTCAGACATTTCCCAGTGCCTAGAAAGGTGGCACAAGGATGCTATGAAGACAGAACACCTTGCCTGATTTCGGCGGTGTCAAGCTGGTCGGCCACATCGACATACACCTCTGACTTATGACGCATTTCCTCAACAAAGTTTGGCTGGCCGTGCCCTGCTCCGACCTAATCACCGGCATTCTAAAGCTGCTCACAGCAGTGTCGGAAGATGCGAATACCGGTTGCAATTTCCTTTTTTGAGTCGTGACACGGGAATCATTCAGGGCCCTCTTGGAAAACACTCTACCTCTAGGCTGCATCTGCATTCTATCATGTTTCTTGAACATGTGTTTTGGTTCTAAACAGTGTCCTGAAAAATCACAAAACAACAACAACAACAACAAAATGCTCTTGTGGATAGCGTAAGCGTCTGCACATCGACTTTACCTTCGTCGACAATGCTTGTTCGTCTTGCGGGGTATCTTGGAGGCGATCAATGACCATCTGCAACATAAAGCGTACACAATCATCGTGAAATACCCAGAGTCAGTGACAGTGGGTGTGGAACTGAGAAAGCACATGGAGAACTATGGAGAACTATGGAGTGGCAAAGAATTCAGAAGGCAGGTCCCGGACAGACTACGCGATCAAGCCCCCTATTTCGAGGACCACATACGAGCCCCTCTCTCTCCCGTGCTTTCATCAATTGTTGAGAAGTGTGAAATCTTTGCACATGGCTGTCCGTACTTTCAGCCGCCATAAACCTGCCAAATCAGCCAGGGATTCACTCAAGTTGGTTTGCAGCAAGGCACCCACAGAGAAACCCCCACATGTCTGTATTTCAGGACACGACAAGCTCATCGTTCCGGACAGAGGAAGAGCCATGTGTAAATGGCACTCACCTGGTGAAGCGGAAGCGAGTTGTTCACTCGGATTCTTCTCGTGACATTGGGCTGGTTACCTTCATTGCAGACCTGTTGTAGCTAGGAGTCTAGGTCCATAGGAGCTGTCTGTCAGTAGTCTGGGCGCCGAGCACCAATGTAGGAGAGATACATGGTGATCGGAGGCAAGCTGGGGGCTTTCATTATCATGTGACTTCAATGCTTTGCTCATACTTATTTGCTGTGATCTCAGTTTGCAATTTGCATTCCGTCCGGGATCGAAGTTATCTGGATGTGAGTGGAATGCTGCAATCTGGTTGATTCAACTTTATTCAAGTTTATTGTCATTTGCATTGCTCATTTCCTGGCACTACAATAATATCAATGATAATGATCTTGAATATCTCAAGACTGTCGTCATAGTAGTCCCACCGATGCTCGGCGCCCCTGGATTGGTCACCAACAAGCTGACCATTCCACTAGTCGGCACCCACAGGCCGTTGTCAGTTGGCACACGCCAAAACAAAAAGTACAAATTTGCAGGGTCCATAACCTCCAATAACCCCACCAACACCACACCCCCATACCACCCCCCAACATCTTCATACCCCCCCGTGGCTGGATGAAGCATCTTAAACCACCGGTACTTGGCCCATACATCGGCCGCAGGCCCTTGTCGTGCACGCGCCGAGACTTTCGGGCTTCGGGGCTAGTGGACCACAATGGCGGGTGGTGCCAGCCAAAAGGAAAAATAATTGTTGCAGTGACGGTTCAGCGAAGTTTGGTGCGCAGGGCACTTTTAGCATCGTACGAAAGTGACCCGGAAGTACTGGTGGTTTAATTTCTTAGACAGAATAATGCTCACACAGGTGGGCTAGTTGACAAGAAACCAGCCAAAATGGCCTCCCTGGAGCGGCAGATTGATCACCGCTGTCTGCCAACAAGCCACTGGCTGATTGAGCATACATACCTCGAGAAGAGACAGGTAACTTTGCCTTGGTGCACGTCGTGCTACAACAGATACCTTCCATCGAAGATCTGTGAAACCATAGAACACATTTTCTCCAGTGTCCCGGTGTTGTGCTTACCTGGCGATGGTGGGATAGGATCTGGCGACAGCTGGGAATGGGCACCACCTGGCCCTGGGAACGGAGAGCCCTCTCGCCAGGGGCATGGCCACCGCCCATGGAGCGCAAATTCACCAACAACTGGTTCCAGATGGGACGGGAGGCGTGGTGCTTTGGACCCTCTGGTGGAAACACTGTACATATGAACTAGAGGGCGCATGTTTGGAAGGGGAAGAATTCACAGAAATCATAAGACAACGTATCCAGACAGGGCTTTGGAAGCAGGATCACTTTCACCAATACAAAGAACAAAAAATCAATCAGTAACTGCAGCACGAACTGGCTGGGGGACAAACAACAGGTCTGGATGGCAGTTGTGTCCTTGGAGGGCGAGCGGGAGGCGGAGCAGGAACCGATGCAAAGCGACAGCCAAGTTACGGTTTAGAGAATGGACGAAGGTTGAGATCACGATCCAACTATCCCCACCAGAAGACTTTCCAGGCACGTTTCCCCCACAACCGCTATCAGTGGCGGACCAGCAATGGTTCGGCATTGAGTGACAGAAGCAGGGTGGCATACAAGGGCAGTCACAGAGAGGGATAACCCAGCTAGACATATTACTTCCAAGCAGGAAGTCAAGATGGGACTGAAGAGGCAGGAGCCCTTTAGGCAGCAGGACGTAAACAGACTTAAATGGTATTTTCATCCTCAAGTCGCAGGTGTTTAATGTAATGTTGACACTGGACCCAGTTTCGAGCAAGGTGCGGCTTCCCACCAATAGAAAGGAGCCGTCTGCCAAGGATAGTAGGATGGGATGCTTATACCACCCGTGCTACTAGTCCGAGAAGACGTCCAAAACAAAAACACACACACAGACAAAAAGGTTTCATGTCTGCTAGTGCTTGTGCAATTCCTCCAAGGTAATAGGTGCATTTTAGTTTGTTTGCTATTTCCTCCCCCTCTACCCAGGTAGGTCAGGAACTTCTCCATTGGCCAAGTGACCTTCCCATTTTGTCCTTAGGGGGTTTGTTGGTGTAAAGGTCCTTGAAAAGGCTTGAAGCTATGCGCAAGCGCTAGGGGAGTTGTGCGCTGCAGGTTTACCGCACAGACTTCACTGGATATGGGAGGCGGGGCGATAGCCCCCCTATAACCATGATAACGCCTCCACCTCGGCACATTTAGATACATGGGGTGCGCGAAGAGGTCAGCGCCAGGCTGACACCCAAGGAGGTGACAACGGGGGTCGAGCTCGTGCTGGATGGAGGTCATGAACCCCAGGACCATCTCTGAGAAGTGACGTCAGAAGGGAGTAATGGAGGATTGACACGTGGGACTGGGGTGGAGAGAGTGCACAGCATATTATCATCATCATTGTGATTGTCGTCATCTTCATCAATAGCACAATTGCATTCGGTACTAACGACGTCTCGTCAAGGTGAGTTTCATTTGCAAGGTAATCAAGGGTTCACTCGGCTTTGGTGGGCGAGAAGTCTTCTGGGTCGGCAAGCAATACAACCCCATGTTATCATTTGCTTCCCTTGTCCTTGCACGGTCGAGCCGCCTCGTCAAACAAGGTGACCCGGGCGGCCTGGCTAATCGACCAGGCTCAAAAAGTGGGAAAAAAAAAAACGAGCGCTGGGCTTGTCACTTTGTCCTCGGCGCGCAGCAAAAAGATAATCTCTCTCCCTTTTTTTTCATGAAACTCCTGGGATTTATGGGCTACTTCCTCACTCACTGATGGGTCTTTAATACTCTTTATTGCTTTTACGAATACATCAGAGATTCCTTCATGCTGTTTATTTTCATCCTCACATCCTGCCGTGAGAGGAGGGACTTGTTAAATCTGTTGAAGCTCTTACAGGTGTAACCTGTTCTAGAGAATACCACTTGTAAGTCTATGGCTCTATGGTCAAGGCCCTTGTAGAATGGGGTGGGGGAGATCAGACAGTTCTGAATGAAATCTAAAAGCCTTAGGGTGTTTGTAGTTAAGAAAAAGTCTATCCACGCATTGCCAAATGATTTCTCAGTACCTAGTACGAAGATGGTTAACTATGTTGTTGTTTTTGTTGATTAGTTCTACCGTTTGGGCTGCTCACGTGCATGGTTCGGGTCTGATGCGGAGGAGATTCCATCAAGTCTAGGGAGACTA